GGTGCTGTGCAGTCTGCATGCAGACTGCACAGCAGCCCTGCTCGGGTAACGTAGCGCGAGCTCGGTGGCCTGCGCGCGCGGCGTGCCGCCGCGCGCGCCTCGCGGTGAAGCGTCTTGCCGGTCGCGTCGCGCTCCGGTGCGGTATGGTGCCTGAAGAAGGTGCAGGCGCTTGTGCAATGGGCGCTGACTGCAGTGAGAGGTGCACTGCGGCGCGCGCGTCGGCGTGAGTGGTCGTGCGCCTGGGTCTGGTGGTGCGAGAGGCGCGTGGCTGGTGCGGGCGGCGCGGGCCGGCCATGGGGCGCCAGCACAGGGCAGACGCACATGGCACATCTCTGAAATGGCGCTGCGCGTGTTTGCGTGCGCGCGGGGACGTACGCGCAGTTTTCACGCGGTGTGCGTGGAGAAGGGCATGAGAGGCGCCGGCCGCGCGTGGCTCGGCGTGTGGGAGTGTTGGGGTGCCCGTAGGCGCGTGGGAAGGTGCCCGAAGGGCGATCATTTTCGGGGTGCTGAAGGAACTGTTGTTCACAGCTTCGCTCTTGCGACCTCAAACCCGCGAGCTGTATGGGTGGTCCTGACGTCGACAGAGGCCCGATGACCACGGTGAAGCTGAGCCGGAACGCGTCGACAAGTCTCGCCTGAGCCCGTGGCGGTCGCCGGCTGAGTCGCTGTGCACGGGCCGGTACCTCAGGCGTCACCTCCGCAGCCTCAGGTCTCACACTCCATCACCTCCGCCGGGACGCTTTCGGTGGCACGCTCGGCGGCGACTTTGTTGCAGCCCCACAGCGAGCGCGGCGTCGAGCCTACCCACTCCAGTTGGTTCGGCACACTCGGTGGGGTCCACTGAGTGTGCCGAACGCGCGAGCGGTGCGTCCTGGCAGCGCGCGCAGGCTGCGGAGCTGCAACAAACTCGAGACACGCTTTTTCGGGACATTTTCGACGCTTTTGGCCCATATACTCGTGCAACAACCCCCGAGGGGTTTGTGTGCTGGGCCGGCCCCACGCCGTGTTCGGCGGCAGGTTCGCGACGGGCGAGGCGCGCCCTGTTCACGCGCGCGCGAGACGTGCTCTCTCTCTCTCTCTCTCTCTCTCTCTCTCTCTCTCTCTCTCTCACAGGTTCGAAAAGAATTTACGAAGAATTTATGGTGGTGCCAGGCCCCTAGAACCCCAGGTAAGGCCCCCGGGTGGCCTAGGGCATCAGAAGGGACCAAGACGGCAAGAGGAGTCCAGTCTTCCCCCCCGCAGGTCGCGTTCAAATGCCTGGAACGGAGAGAGAGAGAGATTTTTAGCAATACCAAACAACTCTAACACTCACACGTAATTTGGGGCCTGGAGCCCTGTTCACGCGCGCGCGAGACGTGCAGACAGGGTTGCCAGGTGAGAGCGAATGGCGCGGTTCACGCCTCGCACAACAGAGAGAGAGAGATGCGCTCTGCATGGTGGGACATAAAAGAGAGCGAGTACTTGGGCGAGTAGGCCCTTGCGGTCAACGCTGCCGCGCGCGACTTTGCGCGCGAGGCGGCGCAGCTTGAGAACGGCGGTGGGCGAGAAGCCGCCGCCGAACGTCTCGTGGAGCAGCAGGTTGAACTTGTTGCGCTTGACAAAGATCGCGTCGTGGTAGAAACCGCGATGCGCGCCTTGACGTAGCCGTGGCCGGTCTTGTGGGAGAAGGGTTGGCCGAGCTGCCCGCGCGCCTTGCAGCCCACATGTTTAGGCGGCGGGCCTTCTCTTCGGTGTTGCCGAAGGCGTAGGAGTGGCCAACGGAGGCGGGCGTGCCGCCACTCGAGGCGTTGCCAACGCCCGGCGAGGAGGTCTTGAGGAGGGGCGTCCAGAGCTTGACTTCATTCACCTCATCGCATCCTCCCGGCCCAGCGTGGGGTTCTGCGAGGTCAGTCTTGTACCCCTCGTTGTACTGCCGGATGAGCTCTGGTTTCTCCTTGTCGCCGTGCACGACCGGCGCGTTGGCCGGGGCGCGCATCGCGTCCGCTTGTTTTGTGAACGGCCGTCTCAGTATTAGGTATGTTGTTGGCTCAGTGGTGTCCGGCCGGAGCGATCATCGAGCCGTCTCACGCTCAGGGAAGCCTGATGAGGTGCTGGTGTTTTGGCTAGGGCTGGCCTACGACCCAGGCCGGATCAGCTGAGCCAGGTTGAGGAAGAATCCCCCAGTCAGATCTTCAGATATTTTGACGGACGACCGAAATCACCCCGTTTTTGCCCATTCATTGCAGTTCATCGGGAGGGATCAGATAGCCCGTCGGATCGATCCACGAGCACGACACAGCAACGATGCGTGGGCCTATGCGGGGCCGCGCGGCTCGGCTTAGGGTACCCCCCTAGGCTTAAAAGGGTGAGGTGTCTCTAGGCTTGCAAGCAAGGGGTTGACGTATCAAGCACGGTAAAGAAAGTTGGAAGGAACTCTATTCACAGCTGCTCAACCTGGATGCCCGGTATGATTGCCCGGTTAGGTACTTTGTTGCAAATCCGGGTTTTCTTTTGTGCTCGGCGTCTGGTCTCGGTGACCTGATATAGGTACTTTGTTGCAGATGCGGGTTTTCTTTTGTGCTCGGCGTCTGGTCTCGGTGACCTAAGTATACCCCCAAGACTGCCTTGCGCCCCATATGGTCTGCGCACTCACCGACGCCTTTGGAGGTCTGCGCACTCACCGACGTCTGGCACTCGCAGCCTGCTGCCTGCTTCTGTGCCTGGCGGGCAGTGTCATTGGAGCTGCCATCGCACTCAGCAGCGGAGGAGATCGCAGCGCAGCGGGGCCACCGCCGCTGTCACCTCCTCCAGGGCTTTTGCCGCCCTTCTCGCCAACGCCGCCCTCGCCACCGCCGCCCTCGCTCTCGCCCTCGCCGCCGCCGCCCTCGCTCTCGCCCTCGCCGCCGCCTCCCACGCCGCCGCCACCCGCCCCTCCGCCGCCCTTGCCACCGCCGCCCTCGCTCTCGCCCTCGCCGCCGCCGCCCATGCCGCCACCACCCGCCCCGCCGCCGCCATCGCCATCGCCACCACCACCCTCGCCGCCGCCTCCAGTACCGCCGCCGACTTATGCAAAGCTGTCGTTTCTCACCTGCGAATTGTCGGGCTACTCATCGATCACTGAAGAAGCGGGCTGTCAGGCGGCTGCCGACCAGTACGCGGTCGACGGCGATACGTTCAAAGTGGCACCGGACACCGGCTGCCCCTCTGGCTGTCCTTATGGCTGTGCATATCGTCCTTCCCACTCGGTTTTTGGCAACAATGTTAACCCGGACCTCCAAGGAACGTATTGCTCTAGCGATTTCCAATGTCTGTGTCTCGTGCCTCCCGGGTTCTCCGCCCCTTCCCCGCCGCCCCCAACAACGTACGCAAAGCTGACGTCAGGCACGTGCGAATCGTCGGGCTACTCGACCATCACCGATGGAGCCAGCTGTCGGGCGGCTGCCGACCAGTACGCGGTCGACGGCGATACGTTCGATGTGGCACCGGACACCGGCTGCCCCTCTTACTGTCCTTATGGCTGTGCATATTTTGTGCGGACACCGCCTGATACTCGTAGCAACGTGTTTCTCAACAACGTGAACCCCGTGCTCGAGGGGACTGCCTGCAAGAGTTCAGCACAGTGTCTGTGCCGCGTGCCGCCATTGCCGCCGCCGTCGAATGTCCCGTGAATCACAACAACATGTACATGTACATGTGCACATGCACATGCACATGTGCATGTGCATGTGTAGGAATGGTGAAGGGGACCCTTCCCGCCCAGCTGGGGACTTGCTTGGTTTTTTATTTCCAAGAATATGTGCCCTGCTGTGAGCCCTAAATCTCGGACGCACCACAGAACGTTGTGGTACCGTGCTTGTATGCAGTATGGTGGCCTGGTGGCTGGTGGGCGGAGGGCGCCTGGCGCCTGCGCGCTGCGGCGGGCGAGGGAAGGCATCTGCGGTGACCGATTACATATGGTTTGTTCGGTGGATCGTGTGCTCTCGCGTGCATGCACGTTGTCTTGGAAATATTCCGCCATATGCATATCCCGTCACATCCCCCCCCCCCCACCCCGCGGTGCCCCGGGGCCCCCCACCAAACGTTACAGCAAGCCGCGATATGGCGAGATATCATATGGCGAGATACGGCGAGATAGCAGATACGTCAAAAAAGAACCTAGGCTGTTGGTTGCCTCCAGGGCCGGTTCACTGTGTGTTTATGCCGTACGGCACCACGGGGGCGATGGCACCCTGTCCTGTGTCGAGGGCTGGCCGTGAGCGGTCAAGTTGCCGTCAGGTTGGAGGTTTCTGATGATTGGAGGGTCTGTCTGTATGTAATCCTCGAGATCTCTCCAAATCTTCCCTCTGATTAAGCTTGATTAATCGGGAAGAGGGAGGTAGACGAGCGAGAAACAGATATGAAAGTATGGCATATAGGCTTGCCTTGAATGGCCACGAACGCCCAACCAATCGCGCCATACACTATGGCACCACCAATCGGCAGCGGTATGCGATTGACCAGCATGGGCATCTCCAGGTTGAAAGGAATGCCGACGCGACCGCTCGCGACGCCGCAATAACCCACCCATTCCCATCACCATCTCACATACCTTCATATAGGCGCTCGAGACCTCTTCTCGCTGCCTACTCGCTGCCTCGAGGGAGGAGGGGAAGACGTAGGGTTGAGCTGGACTCGCCTTTCCCGAGGCCCCTCCCCGAAAGGCAAGTATTAGCCACATGAAATCCGAGACCCCTCCCCACCACCCCAATCCCCCCACCCCCTTGCTCCCCTCCCCCCCTCGGGAGGGCCGAACTGAGGCGCCCGTGGGGACCCCGCACTTCCCTCCCCCCCTAGGAGGGCCGGACTGAGGCGTCGAGGGCCCCGCTCTTTCCTTCGCATAGCGGCCACTCTTCGGATCGCTGGTCGAGCGACCCGGGGGATGCCCCGCGCGCCTGACCCAGGCGCGAAAACGAATCTGCGAGGCGTGGCCGCTCACGCGGCCCGATGGGGAGGAACGGGGCGAGCCCCCTCCAACCCACCCGCGCTAGGTCTCGGGTTTGACGCATGGGGTCACGTCCGCGAAACTCGACAAAACAAAACTCGGGAACTAGCCGGGGCAGTCGGAGAAGGGGCAACTCCGTGCACTGACGGTCGGCCGCCAGAAAACACGCCTGCGTGGATCGCGTCACACCAATCCTCGCTACCCAACGCGGCCAAAGGATATCCACCTCGAGAACCTCGGGAGAGCACTTGGAGCACTTGGAGTGCAGTCATCAACCGCACATCCAGGGCCGGGGAGCTCAGAAGCGCACCCAGCGGGCCGGATGATTGGCATCGGGTTGCGGGCAAGAGAGCCCTAGCCCCGGGGGTGCGCGTTCGCAGGGCAAGGGCCTTAAAGTAAACACAGTTCTCCGAGGGTTAGTACCGCGCTCCAGGAATTCCGAGAATACTTTTTGTGTGATTAGTTTCATTGAAGCCTCCCACGCTTGTTGGCTGGCAAGCACTTGCCCAAAAGGGCCCGCGACATGAGCTCGGTGCGGGTCGACAGCCATCAGTGCTGCGGCCTGGCGGCAGCCTCTTCCGACCCGCCGTCGCCCGTCGCCGCCGCCGCTGAGGCGGGCAGCAGCAGTGGGACCGGCGCCGCTGGTGGCTGCTCGCCGATGCCACGGGTGTGCGGCGTCCGCTTTGGCTCCGTCGACGTGCTCTACCACAGCGTACATCTCGACGACTCAAAGCTGCCGAGCGACGGCCTCGCACCGCTCGGACTCGGAGAGCTGCAGCGGCGGGAGCATCTGCAGGTGGACAGCTTCGAGCGGCAGCGGTGCGTGCCGCTCGTTGTCCCTCCTGCGCCTCGCGCATATCCGACAACTCACGCCACTGCCGGTATGCCTCAGGTGCGGGCAGCGCTGCGACGGCGGGGCGATGGTGATCCCGCCTGCCGAGAGGGCCTCGCTGGCCGGCATGAAGCGGCAGGCCTCCCTCGAGGCGATCGAAAAGGTGCGCGTCGGGAGGAAGGGCGGAGAAAGGGGGGGGGGGGGGGGAGGGGGGGGTGCAGGCAGGGCTCAGCTGGGGCCACTCCCAACGTGGCACTCCCAACGCGCATGCGGGGGTAAAGGGGGGGGAGGGGGGGTCGGGCAGGCCGGCTGCCAGGGATGATCCTCTGGCGTGCGCAGGTGAACAAGCAGCTGCGGCTGGAGCGAGCGAGTTCGGTCCGCGAGTTCATCCAGGCAAACTCTCTCCCGCGCACAAGCCTCCCCCCACACGACCAATGCGTGGCCTCTCGGGGCCTCTCGGGACCTCTCGGGTCCTCTCCGGTCCTCCTCGGGCCCTCTCCGGGCCTCTCGGGCCCTCTCGGGTCCATCTCCGGACATCTACAGGCATTTCGGGAGGTGGGGACACCTCGGCCATCTCGCGCATTTTGCGGGAGC